GGCCTCAAAAAGGCCAAGAAAATTTTCTTTTAATCCCCATGGGCTTTACATTCCACAAATGGAGTCAGAGAGCCGGTTTGAAAAGCAATTTTGTGCAATCATTTACCAAAGGGGACAGGAAACGTCATTACGGTCCTCCTCCCGAGGTTCTCCAGTAATAAGCACGCTATGTGCCCTGCAAGGCCAGAAGAGCTGCGTGGGTTTGATAAATAGCCGTGTCGGCCCAAGTACGGCTTTAAACAGATGTCTGTAAATATTGCACAAGAGAAGCTGCAGCAAGTCGGTGGGCGGCCCCGATGAGCAGTCGTCCCTGCTTTTGTTGGCAAACAGGCAGCAGCTGTCTGTCTCCCTTACTCCGAGAACCAGCCTGCTGCTGATTTGTGATTCCTTTCGTTTGCTGGTGACCATAGTAACCATCATGGCTTCCTCTAGAGCGCTGGCTATTCTGCTCACGCTCCGTGGCCCACCCTGGGGACATTTGAAGGTGTCTGGGGCATTTTATCACAGCCACAGCTGGCAGTATTTGGGTGCTGTTGGCCTTTAATGGGTAGAGGCCAGGGCTGTTGCTAATCTTCCTATCCTGCATAGAGCAGGCCTTACCTCCAACAAGGAATCCAAAATGCCCTGGTTGAGAAATTGTGACCATTTTTTGGAGAAACCCTCTCTCAAAGAAAAATATCTTATTGATTGACTATCTGATCGATTGTTTTGGTTTAGTGACACAGGGTCTCCTTAGTTAACGCAGGCTGGCCTTGAACGCCTGACCCTCCTCCCTCAGCCTCTCAAGGGCTGGGATTGGAGGTGCAGGTGCCCCCACACCCAGCTTCTAGAATCTTCTTTAAGTAAATGTTGTACATTTATCCTCTTTCCGTTCAATCATTCATTCACTCACTCATTCCACAAATAGTTATCCTTAAACCTAGAACGTATCCAACTAGTCACATTCCTGTGCTGATGGGCACATTCATTCCTTCCTGTAGTAGGACTCTGGAGAGCATCTGCCCCATAACAGGCACCAGGGTCTGCAGCAGCCCCATGCAGCTCTTTCCTTGTCAGGCTTTGTGTTCTGGTGTGAGGGAGGGGGGCGAGAGTCTACACAAGTCGACGAACAAAGAGTAACGCACTTTCAAGCAGTGATAAGTAGACTGGTGAGTATCAACCAGAGGAAAGGAAAGAGAGACCACAGAGAAGGAGCTCCTTCTAAAAGGTGGAGATAGGAAAGGCTTCTCTGATAGGTCGTGTGTGTGAGTCCTTGATGTACTGGCCTTGAAGCCATAACCCCAGCCCTTTTTGAAATTTTTAAATTTTGAGACAGGGTCTTAGTTGTGAAGTCACTCAGGCCGGGCTTGAACTCACAATCCTGATGCCTCGGCCTTCCAGTAGGTTATATTGAAGCTGAGATGTGAATGATGAGAAGAAAGCAGACTGGCAAAAATTAGGAGGAGGAGGGGTATTCAACATAGAGGGGCAGCTCGTTAAGAGGCTCCAGACAGGGAAAGGGTGGACTCAAGGCTGAGGACCCTGTGCAGCTTGAAAGGATGAGGAGGTGGACAAGTGACTGTGCTGAGGTGGGGGTGGGAGTTACACAGGCTGGAACCTAACAGAACTGGGAAAGGTTCATGGGGGACAGGAAGCCTGGTGGAGCATGGTCAGGGTTAGGTGTTGCAGAGTCCGCTCAGCTCTGGTGAGGGGCCAGGTGGAAGTGCATGGCCCACCAGGAGCAAACGCAACTCATACTAACACTGAGTGGAGATGGCAGGATGCAGGTGGATTCCAGGCAATGTCCCAGACTTCCTGTCACACGGTCCATGGCTCAGCCAAGTGCACTGCAGCCTTGGGTTTCCTGCTGCAATCAGTGCTGGCCCTGAGCTCTCTGCTGGGGACCTCAGTGCACTCCATCCTCCAGCCAGTCTGGACCCAGGTGCAGCTTGCACAGAGCAGCATGTCCCCAGCAGCAAGTACCGCCATGAACCCCTCTCAGACGCTCCAGGAGGAGAGCCATGTTGGCCGGCTGTGAGGACCCTGGGATGTGTTCTGTGTGCCTTTTCTGTTCCCTGGTTGGACCGAGGTCTTCCTTGAATATTTTACTCCTGTACTTGCTGGGGGCCTCAACTAGCCATTCCAGCCTCTTCCCTGGTGGAGAATGCCCTTGGGACCAGGCCATGGCACCTTCTGACCCTGACTCTCACCCAGCCTCCTATGGTACTGAGAGTACAACCCAGATTCCTTTCCTTGCTGACCCAGCCAGGCTGTGTGAATACCACCCCCTCCCAGGCACACCACAAGACACCCCAAGTTCACCAAGACGGTCTTCTTTCGCGGGTGAGGGTCTTAATGCCTGAAATGCTTTTCCCCCAGACTTCTGCCTTCTTCATGTCTCAGTTCAAAGAACATTTTTCCAATAAACCCTTGTTCTTTAGAGTTACTCTGCAGCAGTGGACATCATACTGCCCCAAAAAGGCAGAAACTGGTTTGGGGGGGGATGAAAGACGCTTTGAATATATAAAGCATGATACACATGCAGAACACAGACACGCACAGTATTACAATTTCATGCAAAGGTTGATAAGGAAAAACAATATCTAGAAAGGCTCCTCATGGATGCATCAGTGAATAAAGGTGAAGAAACTGTGGGAATGGAGTCTCCCCCTTCTACCTGGTCTCCAGTATATATCCTAACTTAGCTCCTCCCAAGGATGTATTACAGTTGGTAATGTCTCAACCTGCAGGTCCCTCTCCTCTGAACAAAAGCTTCAGGGAGTGCAGGGGTCTTGGCCATCTATGCACCACTGTATCTTAGCATGTGTATAGTACTGGGTACATAATAGTCACTTGATAACTATTTGAGGATTCCCTTACCATGGTAATAGGAGGAATGATTTCAAAAATAAGCAGTAAGAACCCACTGGGACACCTTGATCCTCTCTTGGATTTCAATCCTTAAACACTAGCAGACTTGCAGGGTCCTTTGGGCATTGAGCATAAGTGTTAAGTCACTTCTCTTCCCCCATGCATGAGTTCATTTTTCAGTCTAAGCTACTTCCTGTTTTGCTCCTTCCTGTCTCTCTTCCCTGTCTCCATGGACCCCTGCTCTTCACCACTCCACTGGGATGCCACAGTGAACCATGGGGATGCTTGACTCATTAAATGAAAAACATTTTCAGGAAGACTATCACAAGAGGCTAACCATCTTGACAATCAGACTGCAGGAAGCGTGCATTCATGTCCAATTTGATTTAGCAATAAATTGAATCACAGAGAGCATCTGCAGGAGAAAAAAAAAGACTAGAAGGAAGCAAACCAAATGCTAATGACATTATCCTTTTCTGGAATGTAGATGTGCTATCTCTTCTCTCCTCATATTTCTGATTAACTCAGGAGTTTCCTGTAATGAATGTGTATTTCTTGTATCATAAGAAACATGGTTTTGGATTGGCCGGGCTTTAAAAGACCATCTCTGATACTTCAGCACCAAACAGACATACACAGACAGGGTCCCGGCCCACAGATCCAAGGGCAATTGTATCAGATCACACAGGTTTTCAGCCAAAACCTTTCTGGGAGGGTCCCACTGTTGGAGGAGCCATTGGATTTGTGCAATTTAGTCTATCAGGCAAGACGCAACGGCTTCTTTCTAAGACCACACCTCCCATCTCCCATAGAACTGTGTTTGCTGCATCTTTCACAGGTGCCTGTGGCTCCCAAAAGGAAAGGAAAGAAGTACTCATACCACAAGGGGTCTCACCCATGGAAAATGTAAAACAAATAAATACACATTACACATATTTTATAATGTTTTTTAGATTCCGCCTATGAGCGACCATGTGATATTTTTCTTTCTGAGCTTGGCTTATTTCATTTAATACCACGGTCTTGAGTTACACCCGTTTTCCAGGAAATGACATGATTTTGTTCTTCTTTATGGCTGAGTAACATTCCATTGTATGGAGAGACCACATTTCTTTATCCATTCATCTGTTGTCCAGCATCAACCACTAATCTGAACTGTCCCACAATAAACACGGGTGGATGTATGCAAGTATCTCTATAGCATGCCAACTTTAATTCTTTTGGGAACCTACCAAGGAGTGGTATAGCTGGATCAATTGGTATCTTTACTTTTAGTTACTTGAGGAGTCTCTATATTGATTTGCATGATGCCTATGATAGCTTACATTTCCACCAACCGTGTAGAAGTTTCCCTTTTCCCAACTGGTGGAAGAGAAAGTAAAGGGGAGGGGTCAGGAGGAGGTGGAGGGGAAGAAAGGAGAAGGGGATGAGTGGGTGGAAATAACCAAAGTATGCAGTATTTATGGGTGAACACAAAACACACCCATTATTCTGTACAGCTAATATAGACTGACATAAAAATGAATTTTTTAGGGGCCTCATGGCCCAAAGTCAAGGCTGTGGAAGCCCAACTTAGAACGTTTCTTAGGAAAACGTCTCTTGGAACCCAGACCACATCCTTCATTTGTCCGCCAAGAAGTCACCGTCATGGGTTCCTGTGCCATCCTTCCCTGGTACTGAAGGATCTTCTAGACTTTGCCTCCCACAAGTACCTAGGAACCCACAGAACCAGCTCATGCTTCAGCATCCATGAAGGCAGCCATCGGCATTCTTAATTTTTCATGATCAAGGAATGCTTCAAACACTAGAACTTTTGGCAGCTCCATTAAGGAAAACACTTGATCCAACACCAGAGCCAGCAATCCAGCAGGAATTACAGTATCCACCGCAAAAGCTGACAGCATCTCCCAGGGGCTCGGGCACCAGCTCAGCACAACACCCAAATCATTTCAGCCCTGAGCTCTTGACAGCCCTGGCCTCCATCTTTCATACACCCACAGAGTGACGGCATCCCCGACAAGCGCTACCCAATGGGACAGGGATTGTTAGGACCAGCACTGAAAACGAACTGAGACACAGTCATTAGTGTGAGACTTTACCTGGCTGCCCATAGAGAAGAGGTTGCTAGGGAAAGAAAACCCCACTCTTACCTCCTCCAGGGCCCACAAGGAGTCCACCACGGGCTTGATCTTCTTCTGGTTGTAGAGCCCTATGAGTTTGTCCACCACTCCTCGAATGAGGCCAGCACGGCCCTGTTTGAAGAGCAGGTTTAGGAGGGAAAACCCTGCGATGACTTTGTTCTCTTCATACAGCTTGATCGGGTTCACTTTCTCCACCTGCCACCACTGGAAGGAGAAACAGTGCTGGTTACAGACACCACACTGGGTCCTATCAGAGGCATTTCCAGCGTCCTGGGCTAGGCAACAGGGACGGGGGCCGAGCTGGGCCAATTCCAGCAGGCCTAAGGCAGCTCTTGGTGCTTAACTCTAAAGCATCCACCTTGCTAGGCACCATCACAGTGCATGGGGTACAAGACTGAGATGCTTATATGAAGCGCAGGATGGAGACAGGAGATGGATCCCAAAACCATGACAGATCGCTAACCCCCAAATCCATACTGTTCCAAAATCTGAAACTTTCTCAGTGCCAATACAATGCCACAGAAGAAATTCTGACATCAAATTGCACATGTACTGAAAATACGGTACAAAATGACCTTTAGGCTTATGTAGATGAAATGCACATGGCACTAGCATGAACTCCGTGTCTAAACTTGGATCTTACCACCCAAATGCCTCATTATGCATGTACAAATATCCCAAAATTTAAAAAAAACCCAAAGTCCAAATCGATTCTGGCCCTGGTGTTTTGGATAAGGGAGATTCAGCCTGTACCAGGTCATGCACAGTTGGAACATTAGGCATACATTTCAGGCTACTTGCTCTGGAGCCGAATCCCAGCTTGCCAATTTACCCGCTGGTGTTATTTCTCTGTGCTTTGATTTTCTCAGCTGACCACAGTGACAGAACACAGCTTCTTACAACTTCTGGGAGAATGGAGGGTAAGGGACGCAGTCAATGGTGGTGGTGAGGACGGGGGTGGTGAAGGAAGTAGGACGCAGAGTAGTTCGTAAGTGTTGTAGGGGAGGGGGGATGTTGGTGAAGGAGACTTCACGATCGCAGGAGCAGACGTCCTGAGAGACAAAAATGGCAAGAGCCTGCCCAGGTCATTGGCTTGCCTGAGTTGAACTGTGTGAAGAGGAGTTGTCTTGGGCCATAGATGATGCATAATATAATTTACCTAAGCAATGAACTTCCTTTATTTTAAAATGTTTTTATTATAACGTTTAAAAAATGACAGCAAGTAGCTCCTGGGATGCAGACTGGATGCACTTGGACCTGGACAGATAGGTAGGACCACTGGGTAGGGTTCACACACAAAATGCTTTACCAACATACATTCGGCTTGGCAAGGGTGCACAGGAAGGGAGCAGTTCAGAAACAGCCATACGTTTGGCCATGAGTTTCTTGCCATAAAGCAAAGGCAGAAAGATGACTGACAACTTGACCTGTGGTGTGTCTGCAATGCCTCACTGAATGTTTGTGGAATGAATCCTTTCTGCATCAGCAACTCTTGCACACTTGTGGTGAAGAGAATCCTAGAGCTGGTGCTGTTTACCAGTTGTGTGGCTTTAGATAAGTAACGCAACCTCTCTGTGCCCATTTTCCTCTCTGAACCTCATGGGGTTATCATGAGTAGCAAATGTGTTTATGTCTATAAAGGGCTTGGACCAGTGTCTGATGTACTAGGTACTCTATGGACAGTTTTCATTATCTTAATTTGAAAGGGATGTTTTTGATTTAGTGAATAGGAACCCCAAATCTAGAGTCAGATTGCTCTCTAAAATTTAAACTCATCTGTTTGTCTCATCATCATTATGGCCTGAGAGCAAATGTTTAACAGAGCGCAGCAAAAGTTTGACCATAAGGGAGATGGTGAATGGGAAATTTCTGTATGATTCCAAATGTGCTTTTCTTATGCTTACAGAAAAGAGTTTGTTTCTAGAACTCTTCATAGCAGAGCCATCTTTCCGCGCCTTGGCAATGCCCTCTCTTCAGCTCACTTCTAACCCACTGACTGGCCTGGAACCAGTCATCAGCGGGAAAAAAAAACCTTCATCCAGGGCCTCCAGCTACCAAGCACAATGGTCACCCCTGGTTTGGGAAGCGAATCTGCATGTCCTGTCGGGCTGTGTTTTATGAATGCCTTCGTGAGCGTGGCACGCTGTAATTATTTCATTAGCGGTGTGTGCCGAGATCATGCATTTAGGGGAGAAAGGGAAACACTTCTTACAATTGTACATAACTTGGATATCCATGCAGTCTGGAGGCAGCACGTTAATGGCACCCCGGCATGTACAGCTGTGAGTGGCACAGTGCTCAGCTTCCAGGACCCGGGGTGGGGTCCTCTGCATAGGCTCCTCTCGTGCACCTCCTGCAGACCCTTTAATCCTGATGATCCTCGGCCCAGACTTCAAAGCCCCGGTGCAGAAAGAGACCTTTAGATTTACTTTCACCAGTGCAGGCAGAAGTAGTTTTCCGCCGTCAGGAAAGGCTGCCAGCATGGGCGTTTCAGTTGCGTATGAAGCCCACCACGCCACACCTACCATGGGGTCTAATCCTCCTACAGCTTAGCCTGACCATTCCATTCCAAAGGCCTCTGTCACATTCTGCTATTTTCTAGTGCAGCACCTGCTAAGGGTTGGCAGCCATGTGTACCGTGTTATTAATGTGTCTTCCTTATGTCCAGTGTGTGTCTCTTATTAGAACGTCAGAGCCACACGGACCACCTCATCCACGGTGCTACCTCATCGCTCAGGGCAGCGCTACAAACAGCAGGTGCTCAGAAAATGTTTGAGAAGAGAGTGACGCACCAACTGCTGTGCTGGCTGCACCAGAGGCTGAGAGCAGAGGGCTCGAAGACCGGCCTCTGTGAGAAGCAGTGGTCTCCGCTGTGGGGTTGGTGGAAATAAAATATGTAAGCCCAGCATGAATAGCTCGAGATGGGAATTTGCTTCTGAGTAGATGCACAGTACGGCACATGCCCAGGGACAGGACTTCTCCTCGGCACACAGAGAGATCACATAGGCAGAGCTGGTTAAAGTAGTGGGGTCCCCATTCGCAGCTCCAACTCAGTTGGATGGAGACACAGGGAAATCTCAGGACCTCCAGAGACCTGGTTAGAAAGCGGCCAAACTGAAAGGCTGGCCACTGTATAGGCCAAACAAAATGCACTATTGCTAAGTTCATTTTTGACTAATGACTAAAAACACTAACGCCCATCGCAGTAGAAATCAAAATGAAGCTTTCTCGGGTTTCACTGGTACCCCTAGCTGTAGCCCAGGTCCTGGTTGTGCCAGGTGCCCGGTTGTGGGCTGCACTGACAAGGAACGATGTCAGTTGCTGACAAGCAACACTAGGTCAGTGTTTCTGGAGGGAGGGGCACACAGCACGCAAACAGCATGGTGCACTGGACATGCGAGGACACTTACTGATTTCGCGAAGCTGAAGAAGCTCTTGGTCTCTCCAGTCACCATGTTGGATGAACCTGCAAATCAAAGAGTCCCAAATGAAGCAGCTGCCACCAAAAATCAACATCACCTGGTGACAAAGATCCGTTTGGTGCTGACCTGGCAAAAGTTTAAAAGTGAATTTAATTCCTTTAGAAAAATGAGAGAAAATGGAGCAAGTCATCAAATTGACTATTTTAGCTCGATGTCATTGGTTCAAAGAGGAAGTGGCATTTGTCCTGGTGACGTTCCATTACTTCAGAAAACTGGGCATGCAGGAAAGGGCGATTCAGGCCAATACTTTAATGAAATGGTGGGTTGTCAAACTGTCTTCTTGGTTCTGTTCATTTGACTGACAAGTGAACTCCTGGGAAGCTACTTTACGGATCTGAGTTTGATTCCCAGGCGAGTGAGAAGCTTGGAGCACTAAGCTGGGCGCTTAAGTGATGGGGCAGGTGGAAGGAATCTGGATGGGTGAAAGACGAGGTACAGAAGAAGGCAGGCGAGGGCAGAAAGAGGATCAGAAGCCAAGAAAATGGAATGCGGCAGAACCCAGGAGGTTTGGCAAGAGACGTGAGAATCACTTGTGCTGTACGTATGAGGAACTGGGTTTTGCTAATAGGAACAAGCAGTGTTCCAGTGGCAGACAGGAAGTGGAGTTGAGACAGAATCCCTAAGATACAGAGAAAATGGGGGGATGGACTCCTTTTGGGGGTTCCTAAGGTGAGAGGATGAGAAGATTTTTAACAATATGGCAAACATGCAGATAGCATATTGAAGCCTTTTCAATGATTTTCCTGGCTTGTTCCCAAGAATTTGAGAGTAAGTTCTTGGAGAACAGTTATCTAAGGAAACAACAGTGCATATTTTAAATGTAGTTATTTGACTTGGGTAAAGGAGTAGCAGCAAGTTAGTTAACCACAGCTTCCGCTTTTATGGGGTGACTGTCACTGGACATTACAGTACAAGGCTTCCATTACGTAGAAACCAAGAAATCAATGTCATGAATTAGATAACTGTGACACAATGAAGTCAAAATTTTACCAAAATGACATCATGGAACTGAAGCAAAAAATAACTCCTGGCAAATGAGAATGATGAACCAATTTTCCACTTGCAGTTCATCAGTCATATCCCATATCCTTACAAAGTCCTCTGGCTTTTACTGGATCTCTTGTCAATAACGATAATGATAATAATAATAAAATAATTATGACCAAAACAGAAATGATCACAAGACTCCAGCCATGGATATTCACTCACCTCTGGGGAGTCCAACTCTCTTTTTGTTTTAATGATCTGATGATGATGAAAAGATATATATACCCGTGAAATATTTCTTTTATAAGCTCTTCAGGTAGCAGCAGGAAAATGAGTGTTTTTTCCTGAGCTTCTCAGAGCTAAGGTTCAATTTCTATTATACCTACAGGGCACAGAGTTGCCGAGAATCTCAAATATCATAACTCCAGTATCATTTTGCTTTGGAAAATGACAACTGGCTTCATATATGCCTTTTGGACCTGGTGGAGGCTGATGGTGAAATTAGCTTGCACGTCAGAGATAGAAAAGAAGAAAGAGAAGAGCAAGGGGGTGGTGTAGGTCTCATCTTGCTGGGGAGAACTTGCTTCCAGGTGCTTTCATAAGTCTCCCTCACGCTCGAGAGCAGAGACACGAATGCGAAGGCAGGGCAGCCCAGGTAGACCTGTGCTCCACCCAGGCCAGGCCTACCTTGATGGGACATTCGGGGCAGGTGCAGAAGGAGACCTGGGCTCTGCTGCTTCATCGCCAAGGGTGAAGAACCCCCTGGGCCTCCCACCTCCTACCCATCCTCTTCCATCCTACTGTGCATCCTTCATGCCTTCAGTTCCTGAACTTCCGTCTAAGCCACTGGTATTTCCCACCTGGTGCACCCACTGTGGGCCAAACTTCTTTAGCGTTCCTACTCATCTCATCTCAACCGCCACATTGGCTCAGCCTTGCCATAGCCTTTTAAAAAAAATGATAGGATATCGGGCAGTATGCACCTAAGCTCTTTTGACAATGAAGACAACTAACAGTAACATTAATATATTTAAAATGTTTTGAAATTACCCCTATACACACATGACACATCAGCACATTTCACTTTCCCAAGCTGTCTCTGTAACAAGCACAGCATTTTCTGTTGCTGGCCACCTCCTTCCTGCTCCCGTGTGGCACTCACCATATAAAATGTAGGTTCCCAGGGGCTTGAGAAGACTGAGACCTTTCCCAGTGTTGTCCCCACACAGGCAATCCAAGACGATGTCCACGCCTTCTGCAGAGATTCTAAATGGTGAGAAGAGAAAGCAAAATACTGTAACCTCCCAGCAATCAGACTGTGGGTCCTTTCCCTTCGTGTGTCATATTGTTCCACTCCCAGAATTGGGAACAGGGAGGTCTGGGGAGGTGGGTGTGGCCTCTAACTACCTGCGCACCTCAACCTTACTGTGGGTGACATACCAATGAATTAATTGAAAACATCCTGAATTGAAAATGTATTAATCCACCTAACTTACTGAACATCACAGCTCAGCCACACAGCCCTGTACATGGCTACACACACTGTAGCTATCAGTGGCTTATCCTCAAGATCAACTGTTCCTGATGGGGAACTGAGATCTGCTATGCTTGCCCAGAATTGTGAATGAGGCTTATTGCTAGCCCCATAAAAGACAAAAACTCAAAATCTGAAGCGTAGGTCCTCCTGAATGTATATTGCTCTCACACCAACTTAAGGCCAGGAAGTCCTAAATCCAGCCATTCTAAGACAGACTTTCTGTAGAAGAATTTCCCAAAGCAGGAGGCAGCTAAGGGCCTCGCTGGTATCTGATCCTAGGAACCAGTCTGGGTAGATGGATGCTGAAAGACACTGGAGCCAGAGGGCCTGAGTTTGTACCCTGATGCCTCACACAACTGCTCTGAGTCTTAGCTTTCTCCATTGTCAAGTGGAGCTAATATGTTTGTTTGTGGTAAGAGGAGAGTAGGAGAGTGCTTGCCCCAGGCTACCAAAGAACAGTCATTTGGTGAATCAGCTAACAGTTCCTCTTGGGGAAGCAAGAGTGATATGCCAGGCTCTGTCCGAGGTGCTGAGATAGTCAGGACCCAAATCAACATGTTCACTGTATCAAGGGGCTATGGTCTGACGGAGGCACATGGCTCTAATTTCTAAGCTTCTTTTCATCTAACTTCAGGGTCCAGTCTAAAGTTGATGCACAGAGGAAGAGGGTTAAATCTAGAGTCTTCTTTTAACAATGGGAAGACTAGAAGACCGGGGTCTTGTTTCCACTGTCACTAACTAGGAAACTGCACCTGCATCTCTTACGGTGACACTCACTTGGCTGCCCCAGATCCCATGACGGCTGAGTCCTGATGTGCATGTGTCTTTCAAAAGCCCTCACGTTGTGTCTACAATCCATCACCAAGGCTCATTCTGAGAGCTCAGCTGAGCTCTGGTCTCACAGAGCACTTCCACGCCCAGGTGGGCCCTGAAGCCTCACCTGAGAGCCAGAGCCTGGTCAACGCCTTGTGGGACGGGCTGGGGAATGATTTCCTGACTCCTGCACTTCTGTCTGGCTCTGGTTCCTGCTAAGTCTGCTCACTCCCGAGGGAGCAAGATTACGCTCTGCTTCTCTTGCCTCCCGCCAAGGTTAGGCTGGGCAAACCTCTCAGCCCCCTGATGGATCCACCCAGCCCCACCTGCCCACTTCCTTCCTGACACTCCCCACCTATGTACCCAACTTGCTGCTGCACCTTCTCTCTACAAACTGCCACTCACCACTCAGGCCTCCTTGTATTAGCTGCACCCTCTGGTCGTCCTACCCTGTTCTCCAGACTCTGCTTCTGCAGATATCCAGGATGCCCATAGCACTGAATGGCCTATTCTACCTACTTAACATCTTCTCCCCCGATTAACTGCTCATGGAGTTTTGGTCTGACAACTGTCCCAAGGGCTTTTTTACCTCAGGGCCTTTGCATATGCTGTGATCTCTCCCCAGAGAGTCTTCCCCCAGCTGGCTTTGGAGCTGGCTTCTTCTCATCCATCAGGTCTCATTGCTATCTAACCTCTCCAGAGGAGTAGAGTAACCAGCCACCTCATCCACATTGTCAGGAGCAGCAGGCCTACTCCCCCTTAAATAATCTCTGCTTTACTTCCCTTTGTGCACCAGTGTCTACACTGGAGGACTTTTTAGTCACCATTATGGGCCACAGTTATTTTGCTTATCTGCCTACTTACTTATTAACTGACCTTTCCACTAAAACATAATCCCGTGATTCAGAGACATATACGTGTCAGTAACTGTTACATCCAGTATTACTGTCTTGTTGCGTTCTTGCTGGTGGACATACATCAATCCCCAACAAATCTTGCTTGATTACATGGATGGATAAAAAGAGGAAGAAAGCACTTCAAGAAGACTGGCATCCTCTCTGTGTGCATGTGTGCGTGTTGGAAAGGAAGCTCACATATCAGAGCTACTTCATCACTGATCCCACAGCAATGCTACGAAGATGGAACTTGGACTTCACTTCTCTGATGCAGGGACCGAGCCTCACAGATGGATCCACCTTGCCCAAGCTCATGTAACCTGTGCAGCTGGGATGCAAATCTAGGTTTCACCACTCAGAACGCAAGAGTTATTAAACCTTGAAGCCTATGCACTGAAGGCAGCATCTCCTTCACAGGCAGCTCTGGGAGGCAGTCTACTGAGTGCAGTCTTTGAAAGACCCAGTGTTAAATGTTGTCTTAAATACATGTATATCCTCAGTTGAACTGCACTGTTCCTAAGATCCAGGTTAAGCTTTATGTAGCTTTCGGAGATCTCCCCTCCAGCCAGATTATAGGAGAGGGAAAGGCCAGGGTCACATGCATTTGCCCGAAATTCCCAGCCACTGCCAACCATTTGCTGAGTGCTTGCTTTGTGCTCAAGTTCACCCTAACCCGGGAGTTTGGGTGCTGATGGAGGGCCGGTGTTTGACTGCCTCGCCTCCCCAGCCCTCGCGTGTTGCACTCCGAGTAGTCGCTGTAAAAGCAATGAAAGGCGGGACCCTGGGAGCTGCTTAGGCCATGAGGCTGAGCTCAGATGAATGGATCAACCCTAGGGATTGATGACCAGGGAAGTGGGTTCTCTATGAAAGGCTGGGTCCAGCTCCTGCTCAATTCCTCTCTTGCTGTGCTTCTCTTCTACCAAAAGGGTTCCTCCCTCAGGAGAATATGGTATTCAAAAAGGAATGTAAGCAAAGACTAGGGCCTTGTCAGGCACCACATCTGCTGCTGCCTTGATCCTGGTTGTCAGGCTCCAGCACTGAGCAGAAGATCTCTGATCCCCTACATGGCCCAGTCTGTGGTTTCCTCTTATGGCAGCAAAAATATTAAGACAGGGAGATGGGGTGAAAGTAGACACAGAGACCATTGCTCCAGCGCAGCAGGCCAGGAGCTTTGGAAGGTGAAGCCATGCGTGCTGTTGACAGGTGGGCGAGAACTGGCCAAGGGACTACAGGAAGTCATTTCTCAGAGAAGAGAACAACAGTGTGGCCCAGGGGCTGGGTCAAGGCTTCGGAACACCCACACTGGCTTGGAGGAGTCCTGGCCCCTGTGTCCTTCCAGAAGGACTCAGGGACTGGCTGACGTGGAGGGGGCTGACAGGGGTTGGGTGCTTAAGGGCAGTGTAGCACTGGGGTTTGGATTGCGATTTTGTCTCAGCCTGAAGCATTTAGTTCCGCCCCTTATTTGCCGAGTGACCTCGGAGGAGTTAAAGTTTGTGCCTAGATTTCCTCCCTCATGAAAGCGGACAGCGGTGAGCTCCACCTGGTGAAGTACCTATGAACGGAGGCTGGGAGAGTACAGAGCAGCTCATGACAATCACCCGGCCCATGGTCAGCCTCGATTACCTTCTGTCAGAATGGCCCAGTTTGAGGCACTTTTGATTGTCAAAAAGGATTGCAAACAAAGGATTGCAACACCTCAGCAAACCAACCACTGAGCCAAACAGCCTTTAGGGTAGGTGAAGACTAAACCAGAAATCACCAGAGCCAAGCTAGCGACTTGTCCGCCCTGGGCAGCACATTTCACACCTGGAGCACCTGCCTGGTGCCAGGCACAGGGCTGAGAGGTCCCTGGGCTTACTGCACTCCTGCCACATGCAAGCCTGTGACTTCTGATGGGAGAGGAAACAGACTCAGGGACTGAACCAGGGCCCCGCCGAGGATGGGAGGGAGGCCTTGGGTGCGACGTGTTCACATGCAGAAACTAGCGGGAGCCACAGAGTCAGAGAAGGGCTTCACAGGGTGAGCTGGGGCCAGCCCGGGGCACCACCCCTGTCACCGCTGGGCCACATGGGCTATGGGAGCTGCTCCACTGTCTCCCACGGGAGAGGCTGAGACTCCCTGTGTGTCCAGGCACCCGCCCCTCCCCATTTCCACAGTGAGCCACTGGGACTGCACATGGCAGAGGGACAAGGGGAACTCCTCTCCTCCCTCCAGCGGTCACTGAACCTTCCCGAGGGACTGGGCTAGAGAGAGGGTAGGAGCAGCTAGCGGGAGGCAGATGCCACTGCCACGGTCTGGAGGGTGAGGGTGTCGGCATTTCTGTCCAACTGTCCATCAGCCGCTGCCCCTTCTGCAGGTGGAAATGCTCCTTCAGGTCCGAGTTTCAAAGTTAAAAAGTTCGCCCTCCCTTTTCCATCAGTATGAGCCTGGTGAACGGATCCTATGTAGGGGCCAGTTGTGGGAGGCTCGTGGCATCCCTATGTCCAGTGTCCCTGTTTCCAGGTGTTCACACTGCCTGCATAGGTGTAACAAGAGCAGGGCAGGTGGCAGAGCCAAGGGCAGGGGCTTCCGGTCTGCTTTCCCCTGCTGGCATCAACACCTCCAGATTTAAAACCAAAAAGCCCAGCTCAGGAGTTCCCCGGAGCCAAATTCTCAAGCTCTGCTGGAACTGCTGACCCCAGGCCTCGGTGTCTGTCCCTCCTCGGTCCTCACCCCTGGACTCCAGGCTGAATGCTGCCTCTCTGCTTCCTGCCCGCATGGACCAGGGCAGAATTTCTCTCGAGAGTCTACAGGGGGGAGAAACCCTTGGACCTCACGAAGTAATGAATTTCTCTTTGTTTGGGCTTGGATTTCCAGTTGGACCCCTGCTCTCTGCTCAGCTTTTTCTGTTTGAATTCCTTTTTCCCTGAGAATTCGTTGGTGCCATAGCTTTAACCATCAATAGCCACAGTAGGCTTCTCACGAGTGCTAAGTACACAATAGATTTTCCAGTAAATATTTACTGCTGATGGCTCCCTTGT